AATGTGCATGGTTAGTGCCATCTTATTACATATATCAACTATATATTACAAGCAGTGAAGGTGAACTAATCCACAATAGAGGAGTGTTTAGCAATAATTTAGGGTTTTGAGAAGCTTCATATATATTTGCATGGTTCTCAGACATTATTAAAAGGTGATTATGTTGTAATTACTTTGTTATTGAAGCAAAAGAATTTAATTGGTTATATTACTCAATGGGCTTTGAAACTTCAGATATATGATTTCAAGGTTCTTCATCATCAAGGAGTTTTATGGCTGATGTTGATGCCTTTCCTCAAACTCTTCTTCCTTCTTGATTGTCTTCTCATATTTTTGATGAACCTATTATTCCATTTATAGATTTTATTGATGAGGATTCTGTACCACTGACAGTTGTTATACTTGATATTTAGTGTCTACAATGTGTGGAGCAAGATTTACCTTTTCTTGACAAAGTTCGAAAGGCTTAAAAGGTTGAGCTATGGATTCAAGGGTTTCATAATGGGTTTGAGAATTTTACATTACTTATTGATGATTTTTGTACATTTTGTGTAATTGCATTTGCTGCAAACTTTTAATACTCCCCTTTATGTTGCAAAAGGATAGTTAGAGTCAATTATAATTTCCCATCCGTTTGAGTTGGTGCCATTTAATTTTATCTGGCCTTTTCTTTAGTCAATTATTGACAATAAGTATGTCATTATTACTTTTGATTATTTGACTTGTTAGGTCAAAGTTGATGCTCTTTCTAATGCATTTACAAGTATTATTGGATTTTTCCTCCTCAATCAAGTAGTGTTCCAACATTTAAGTCTAAAGCAGATTCTCTCGAATAATGATCACACATTTATGGTTGATGTATTTCACGTTTTAACGTCTCGGTTAGGGATATGCCACACTTTCATAAGTGTTTATCATCCACAAACAAATGGTTTAATGGAATAGCTCGTTTAGACCTTCAAAGGAATGATTAGGAAATATTTAAAATTTCAACATTTCGATTGGGATGGTTATTTGTCATCTTTTTAGTATGCATATGTCATAGGGGTGTAGAGTTCTATTGGTGCATTTCTATATAAACTTGTATATAATCATAATCTAATACTACCAACTGAGTTGAGTTTACTTTTGCGATTGCTACAAATTACCAATGCTAGATTCTAGGATTAGTATTTAATGATCATTCTTCCACTTATCCAAGTAGAGTTTACTAAACACTTAGGCCACGTATAAGTGGGACAACAATATCACTACAATTCTTATCATTGTTCATGTATATAGTATAAAATAAATGATTTGATTTTGGTTTGTTTTCCTAATATTTTGGTATGTGGTTTGTTTGAGGGGTTCCTTGATCAATGGAAGGGATTGTATCAGGTTGGACTGCAAATTTATGAGATTTGGCATGATGTTTAATAGACCAATCCTCCAGAAATTGTATATATGTAATGGTTAAAACACTTTGTACAAAGAAATTATAAATAACTAATACTACCTACAGATCCACTAGTGCTTCCTCTTAATATTCCTTTAAATCCTAGCCCATCAATAAAAGAATCTTAATTACCTTCCATCCTTTTTAGAGGAGGAGATGATATAAAGTCTAAGTGTATGGTTCCAATGTCATATATTATACATCCCTTTCAAGTGGATCAAAACATTATCGATGAAATCAATAGTCACCTTCAATATATCACAAAGAACCCCATCCATCATTTGCTAGAAAGTTAGTGAAGTATTATTCAAACCAAATAGCATCACCAATAACTTATACAAACCAAATGGTATACAAAAAGTAATTTTGGGAATATTTTCCTCGGCTATCAGTAATTATTTCCTAGTATCCAAAAGCAAGATCTAACTTATTAAACTAATAACTTCTCCCAATACAATCCAAAAGATCTATAGTGTGAGAAAGAGGGTACACATCTAGGATATTCACATTTTTTAACAAATGATAGTTAATGTAGAAGAAAAAAACATTTATTAGACATTATGACAAGATGAAATTCACATGCCCAAAAACTCTGAGGTTTTTGGATAAAACCCTTTTTTAATGTCTTTTTAACTTTCACATATAAAATCTTGATATCGTTTGGTGATTGATACCAAATAGAAACTTTGATTGGACTAATATCCCCAGTTGGTATAAGATGACATATTGTAGTCTTGGCCCTAAACAACAAGTCAAATTCAAAAAAATTAGCATACTTCTTTATGAGCCGGTCAATTGCTACAACACAAAGACAATCAGAGAAATCTAAAAAGGGAATAAAGAAATAAAACGAAAACAAAGGAGAAAGTAATTTGGAAACAGAAGTAAAAGGATAAAGAGGAACAAAAGTGAGGAACAAAAGAAATATAAAAAAGTATGAGACAAGGGGGAAAATCCTTAAAATCACATTTGACATGATTATGTCGCAATCAATCTATACCAAGGATGAGGTTAAAAACTTTACTTGGCAACACTTACAATGACTACAGTTCAAGCTCAAGATTGCCCATACATACAACTAGGTTTGCCTCATCTCGTGCACATATATATATACAACTATTGCTATAAAAAATAAACCCTAAACTCTTCTATATAACAAAAATATAAACAACAACATGTGGCAATAGGCCGAGCAATAAAAGATAAACTTGAGTATGTATCAACCAATACAGAATGAATAATAAAAGACTTATTATTATAAAAATAAATTTAAAAAGTAAACACTAGATGAATTAATGCTAAGTGAACCATTTAATAATACTTCCAGAAGAAAGATGAAAGGGTCACTGATTTATTTGTACAAGGACCTTCCGCTATTTATGCAACTCCTTGTTTCCCAAAACAATCTCAATATCCATACCATGACATTGTTGATGCCAAGGTCCCCACCTAGGAAATGGAGATTGCCAATCCAAAAAATGCCAAAAATGCTGATAAATGTGATTAATTTCATTTGTTATTGTTGCCTGAGTTCAAGGACAAGGATGAGGACATTGATATCCACTGTTAGGCACATTCAACTTTTATTAGAATAAAACCACTTAAAAGAAGTGAAGCTGAAAGACGTACAACAAGAAGTGGAAAAAATAATGTTTTATAACATTGTGCCAAGTGAAGAGTATTATCAAAGATGGCTAAAGTGATTATATGCGCAAGTTTAACAAGATATTGATGAAGTGCTGGCTACAACATTCCCAACTTAATCTGCTTTAATATATTTAGTTTCATATGAAGCAAAAGGCTTTGGAAACAAATGATAAATTGCATCATTGACTCAAATGGCCCTTGACGAAGACAATTTAATTGTTGAAAGGCATTATCACAATTATCATTATATTCAAATTTCATAAGAATGCTCCAATCCACACTAATGGCTGTGCTTAAACCATTATACCATTATAGTGCTATTTCTTGGAGACATTTAGGAAACTCACATAAACATTGAACATCATCCCAACAATGATATATGGCAATCAGTGTAAAGTGATTGAATCAATAGTACAAATTAATTCCCATAAAAGAACTCCGGCCGGACACGAAAATTGGTAATAAAAGTAAAAGGAGTTATACCATATATTGTGAATGCCACCATCAACTGAGTTTAATTGCTTAATTATTAAGCAATTGCACCAATTACTAGTCCAAAGTCAAAGGAGGAGGAAGCTACTACGATGAACAAAAAGGAAAAAAACAAAAAGAAGAAATTCAAAAAGCTATAAAGAAAAGGAGATTTAGATAATGCAAAAGTTAGATATAAACCAAAATCCTAAATTCAAGCACTCCTCAAGGATCATCACCTTTCACCTCCACCAATGTGAATATAGAAATAGAATACAGAAATATGCATATCAATTAACTTAGATGTAGAAGTGATTGGTTTGGATTGAAACCAATCCAATAATTATCAAAATCTCATTATGCTAATATTACACTTGGACCTTACAATGTCATTTAAACTTTTTATTAAAATTATAAATTTTATTTTTTAATTATCTAGTCATTATTATACTCCTTATTAAGTATATAATCATTTTTCTTAATTTTTTGTTTTTGGATATTCATCATAAATATATAATATACTTAATATACTGAAACTTTTATTTAGATTTGCTAGATCTAAGTGCTCCATGCACTCACAGATTCTAATACTTATTAACTCTATTATTAGATATATATATATAGAGAGAAAAATTTTAAGAGGAATTTAATTTCTCATCAAAATTAATTTATTAATTTTTCATTGATGATAGTGTGGTTAGATAGAGTCATAATCAACACGCTTTGATCTGTAATTTAAGTATCTAAATTGACATGTGAGCTGAATTTAATCCTAGAAAATGATAATTAAAAATTTTAGATATGTGTTTTTATATCTCTAATTGTTTTAAAGAGCAATTGTCCAAGATGTCTTACAAGACTTTGCTAAGTAAAAATTCCCACATTGCTATAGGAGAATAAAGATCATGTTTGACAAAGTCTCTTTACTAATCAAATAAACCTAATCCTCCAAGAAAAATCTTAAGATACAACCTTTTAAATTCAAATGTGCCACTTAGTAAATTCTATATCCTATAGAATATATATAAGCGACATGTAATAATATACTTCTAAGTTGCGCAAAAAAGTATTCAAAATATGCATATTTAACATAATTACACTAAAATATCTTGACGTGTCAGTTTAAACAAGCTTAGGAGTTGACCAAGCTAGATGATTAAAATGTACTGACATGGCATGATCTTTGCATGATATGGACTCAGCTAATCGTTTGGTATGGTTTGCATGCGAATATTCGCTGGAAGAATTTGTACGTACACAGGGCCGTTGGTGAAAAAGCGGGCCCAAAGTTAAAGCTTAACGTTCCCTTCGCGCTTTTATTTCTTCCACGGTAAGAAGAAAAGAAAAGAAATCATGCAAGCATTTTGCCCAGAGAAAAAGGATTAAAAAAGCGTGCGCTATACGGTGTATGGGGAAAAGGCTAAACCCTAGTTTTCTCGTATGTCTACGACTATTTTCGCATGATATATGGGGGAGGTGTTATCCTATTTTATTTTGGATTCAAGGGTTCTCTCTGTTAGAAATAGCCACAACACGGGGAGCTGCCGTTGCCGCGGGCGGGGAGCCGCCCAATCGATCGATCTCTTGTCTCCTCTCTCGCGCGCGGTCGCAAGAATCTCTCGACCAATGCAGGATCTTTCCGTGCTCTTCCCCATCGCTTAGAATCCACCGCCGAGAGATTAGGCTTCGATCGCGCCGAGCAGTCGATAGGGCTTTGGCGCCGCGATCGCCGAGCTCCCAGGGAAGAATTGCTGTTCTTTATCGCGCTATTTGCTATGTGGCGGGATCGAGCATGCGGAGTGTGAGATGGGAATCGGGGCCAGGAATCTAGCGGGATGATGATTCTTGGGGTGAGGCTGCCATGGGTGTGCCGGAGCAGGGGTTACGCGTATCTCGTGTTGATGGCCAAGCAGCCGAAATCCTCCTCCTCGTCTAGGATGTCTCCCTTGCCAGCGGCGGCGATCTCCACATTGGTGATGATTTGCGCCTCGGCGCTGCTGGGTCTGGCGTTTCTTTCGATGCTCGTGCATGATCTTGACCGCCACACGGGACCCTTCATCCAATTGGTAAAAATTCCCTCCTCGCTCATCTTTTTTGTGTTCTCTTTGTGCTCTTCTCGCTCGATCGATCTAGCTTTTTTCTCTTTGACAGAAGCGAGGAACCGTCCACCCCATGCTCGCACGATCGCAGGATTTGCAAGATGTGCCGGTAAGACGTGACATCAAACCACCATTTTATTGAGCTTTTTGGAAAACTCTTGCAGAGCGAGGGCGATATTTCGTCCGACAGCATTTGGGAGTCGCCGTCTGCGAGATTTTTCTACGGGTGCAGCGAGCCGAGGGAAGAATTTTCATTTTCAGGCAAGAAAAAAAACTCGAACTAAGAATCTTCTTGTTCTTCTTCTTCATATATATTTTTTTGTTCGTTGCTTTTCTTCCACTACCAAAGTCGACCAACTTTTCTCATCTCTCGTTCCAGGTGTTGGATTTCCGTCCAAAGCTAATGGGTATCTGATGATTGAAGCGAGTGGAGGCTTAAACCAACAACGGACTGGGGTAGGCCGTGTGGCTTGCGATTAAGAGTTCGCTCATTGCTAACTTGCCGTGCAGATAACAGATGCCGTGGTTGCCGCCAGGCTCTTGAATGCTACATTAGTGGTCCCAGGATTGGATCACAAATCATACTGGAAGGACAACAGGTAGCTTATTCGTGAATCGATATTCACTCTCTTAACTAATTGCTTGGGTTTGAAACAGCAACTTCAGTGACATATTCGACGTCGACTGGTTCATCAAGTCGCTCACGTCCGATGTTTCCGTTGTCAAAGAATTGCCGGCAGCAGCGAGATCAAAGTATTTGAAGCGAAATCATCTCACGTCGATGCGTGTCCCGCGAAAATGTACACCGCAATATTATCAGAGCAAAATCCTCCCGATTTTGCAGAAGAAGAAGGTACGGCGCAAGACTTGCCTCCAACCAGAGATCCTTTGGCTAATACTTGACTGTTAGGTGCTGCGGCTGACCAAATTTGATTATAGACTCGCCAACAAACTTGAGCCAGAGCTGCAAAGATTGAGATGTCGGGTGAACTACAGGGCCTTACAGTTCACTCCTGAGATATTGAATATGGGAAACAGCCTTGTAAGTCGGATGAGACAGATGAGCAAACGCTACATTGCCTTGCATTTGAGGTGAGGTTGATGTTTTGTTTTTAGCGGTGTTGTCACTCATGAAAGCCTCTGATGTATGCAGATACGAATCTGATATGCTAGCTTTTTCCGGTTGCTACTACGGGGGAGGTGACAAAGAGATCAAAGAACTCGGAGCGATTCGTAAGCGATGGAAGACTTTGCACGTCCGAAGCCCGGAAAGGGAGCGGAGAAACGGAAAGTGCCCGCTAACACCCAAAGAAGTCGGCCTGATGCTCAGGGCCTTGGGCTTTGGCAACGATTCCTACCTCTACGTCGCGTCAGGAGAAGTTTATGGTGGAGAGGAGTCACTGGCACCGCTCAAGGCATTGTTTCCGAACTACTTCACCAAGGAAACGCTGACCACCAAGGAGGAGCTCCAGCCTTTCTTGCACTACTCGTCGAGAATGGCGGCGCTGGACTACATCGTCTCGGACGAGAGCAACGTGTTCGTCACCAACAACAATGGCAACATGGCTCGTATACTAGCTGGCCGGAGGTATGTCAACTACGTGCTAGGTGGTCCCTCTATTTCTCACGAAGCTTTCTTTTCTGTTTTACAGGCGCTACTACGGGCACAAGAGGACGATCAGGCCAAACACGAAAAAACTGGGGTCTCTTTTCCTCGCTCGGCACGAAATGCCTTGGGATGCTTTTGCGGCTAAAGTGAAAACGTTCCAGAAAGGCTTCATGGGAGAGCCGAACGAGATGAAGCAGGGAAGAGGAGAGTTTCATGAGAATCCGGCGGCGTGCATATGTGAGAAGGGGGTGGGAGCTCACAGTCCGGTCGATCCAAGCGGCAGCTACAACGACACGAGCTATAACTATTTCGACGAGGACCAGCTGGGGTCGTATGAAACGGAGGTGTTGCACGCAGAAGGAGAAGCGGCGGCGGAAGAGCTGCCACTTTTCTCGGATTAGCGGCGGACGGATAAATTTTTGTCCCCCTCGACGACAAGTTTCCGGGGGATTGTCGCCAAAGTTGTATATAGCAACAGCTCGCAAGGTACGCTAGTTTTTACCAGTCTGAAAAGTCGAGAGGCTGCACAGGGAAAAGTTCTCGGGGCTGGAAGAAGATCTCGATCGAGGCAAAAAAGAAAGTCTATGCTCGAGGAGCTCTCGCTAGCCAAAGCGAGAAAAAGTGAAGGGATAAGATCAGAGACTGGCCCCCCTACAGGGAAAAGCTTTCGAAGACAAAGAGAAAAGTGGAAGAAGAAATACAGGGAAAAGCTTTCGAAGACAAAAGGGAAAGTGGAAGAAGAAAGAAAGAAAGCAGTTTGTCATACACACTTGGTTTAAATCGAAGGAGTCTCTCTATTCTTTTGTTTTGTATATGGCCGCTTTCTTCTTTCCGCTGTACACAAAAGAGCTATTTGAGAGAAGGAACTTTGGACTGGGCTAGCTGCTTTGTGAGTTGAGCCGGAAGGGGCTCGTTTCTCACGTAAGTCTCGCTGAAGGAAGGCATGCTCGAGAGCCACGGCTTTAACGCCTCGCCTTTGCAAACTATCCTTCCTTCGTTCCAGGACGCCGTCTCGAGTGGAGCCGCGTAGTGTTTGAGGAACGCTTGCACCACTTTCGCTACTGGTAAGTCCTCCACTTTCCTGTGATCTTCGATATCACCACACCTGGTAAACGAGAGAAAAGCTATGACCTCAAAGCTTGCGAAGAGCGAAAACTTACGAGACAACGATGGAAGTCATGAAAGGCAACTTCTCGCATTCTTGCAAGTCGTTAAACCACGTCGACAGCGCAGTGACGGTGGCACCGGCGGACATCCTGCAACAACGAGAAGATCAACCCCGGTAGACAAACTAGAGAGGAAAACACTTACCTGTGGACGTTCACGGACCAAACGCGACGAGTTTTGATGAACGCCTCGGGGAAGGCTCCTCGCTGCATTGCATCGGCGAGAACTCGGGCGGCCCGAGCCTTTTGGTTGCAGTAGACGAGGAGCTCGACGAGTGCGTTGTAGAAGTCCATGCTTTCTTCCATGTCCCGGAGCTTGAGGCCGTCGAAAGCGTACTCCACGACTTGCCAGCTAAAGTCGGCATCGTAAGTGCCACGCACAATCCCCACGACTACTTGGTGGAGGCCCCCGGCCGCGATCATCTCGTCTAGGAGCTGAGTTGCGTAGTCCCATCTGCAAAGAACAAAGATCCATCACACTCGCTAGAAGAAACAAGCAAGACAAAAAAGAAACCATCACACTCGCTAGAAGAAATGTACGATCTATCAACAAGCATAACAAACAAGGAAACAAACACGAAAACTCTCAAAGAAGGATGAAGAAAAACTTACTTGCTTCGCCTCACACACAGCGAGAGCAGCAAGCAGTAGACCCGAGCGCCGGGAACTTTGCTCGTCTCCTTGATGATGACAAACTCCTCCTTGGCCTCCTCGAGCAATCCCATATCGCAGTAAACCCCCAGCAGCGTCTCGTGCGTCCTCTCGTCCACTTCACTCCCCTCCTTTTGCTGCAACTCGGAGAAAAACTCCAGAGCCTCGTCGTGGAGCCCGACCTTGCTGTAAGCCTCCATAACCGAGTTCACGCTGGACACCGGAGCTTGGAACCCGGCCTTGTTCATCGCGTAGAGCGTAGACCCCGCTTCCACGTAAAGACCACCTTTTGCGTAGCCTTGGATGAGAGCGTCGTAAGCTGAGACCTGTGGATCCAGCCCGGCCTCCCGGATCCTATAATACGAAACCAGCGCGTCCTTGTACATGGCCATCTTTCCATACGAGCTTATCAGCCCGGCCGAGGCCTCCAAGCTCGGTGTGGACTCGTTCGTGAGCATGTGTTGATGGATCTTCGCGGCCTCTCTCGTAAGTCCTCCCCTCCCACAAACCGAGAGCAATGCCGAGTACGTCGCATCGTCCGGCTTCACTCCACTGTCCACCATGTCGTGGAAGAGATTGATCGACTCCTGGAAGTAACCACCCTCGCCAAACACTTGTATGAGCGAGTTGTAAGTCGCCACCGTGGGTGGCGTCGAGAGTTCTTTCATGTCCGAGAAGAGCGAGCGAACTTGCTCGAAGCATCCCTGGTTACCGTAGATCCGGAGGAGCGTGGAGTAAGTCTCGACGTCGGGAGCGCAGCCGCCTCGCTGCATCTGCTTGAACACTCCAGCGGCCCCGTGGACGTTCCCGGCGTCGGCGTAAGCTTCGATCAAAGAGTTGTATCCAGCGATGTCGGGAGAATTGCCTTCGTCCTCCATCTCCCGGAGGAGCTCCTCGACTCGGCCCAGCTGGTTGGATCCCGCAAAGGTGTCGACGAGGGACTTGTAAGTCACGGCGTCGGCCACCACTCCGGACTCGTTCATCGTCTTGAACACCATCGCGGCTTGCTCCACGAGACCCCGCGAAGAACACGCCGAGAGGAGCGTGTTGTACGTGATGAGATCCGGCTGGATGCCTTCGTGCCGCATCTGCGCGAAGAGATTGAGCAGTCCCTCCCAGTCGAGGCCACCTTTCGAGCAAGCGTTTAGAACCGTGTTGTAAGTGATGAGATTCGGCTCCACCCGCTCCTTCTTCATCCTGGCCAGGAGATGGAGCGATGCTTCATACTGCCCGTTTCGTCCGTAAGCATTGATCAAGGCCGTGAAAGCGTAGACGTTCCACTTGACGTCGTTCTCCGGCATGTCCTCGAAGATCTCCGAGCACTTCTCGAGCAGCCCCTCGCGGCCCATGATCCCGATCATGATGGTGTAGATGTGCTCGGTGGGCTTGCACCACTGCTGGCGCTGCATGTACTTGAAGAGCCGGAGCGCTCGGTGCCAGTCGCTGCGCGCCGCGAACTCGCGGAAGATGAGCGAGAAGTCCTGCATCGTGAGCTTGCTGCGGTAGAGGTCCATGCAGCGCGTCACGCTGCCGCGCGGCGGGAGCTGGCTCAGCGAGTTGATGCACGACTCGATCTCGTAGCCGTACTTGCCCTTCTCCACCGTGATGGCGTCCACGATCATGGTGGGCTTCTTGAAGACGCCGCTGCGGGGCTTGCGCACCACCGTCGAGACCTCCGCGCGGACGAGCGGCGGCTTTCGACGTTGGCCATCGCCGCCGCATTGCTGCTGCTGCTTGTGTGCGTTTTCACGCTGGAAATGGAAGCGCGAGGGGAGGAAAGTAGAGCTGAGCTGCGGTTCTGGGAACCCACCTGAGCGCTCGCGTCGCCGGTGGCGGGGTGTGGAGAATGCGGCGGCGGCGGCGGCGGCAGTGGCAGCGGCCATTGCTCATTCTTCTCGCAAGAACCCTAAAAACAGGGCACAGTTTGAATTTGAAAAATTATCTCGTGCTTTACCTAATTTCGGCAGTGAGAATATTCTCTACTTATGCTCGCTTTTACAATATTGAACTATGCAAAATTTTGTGGTCATATATTCACTATTTAGTTACTTTTATATCTATTATTGTAATATTAATATTATAATTTCGCTAGGCTTTAGTACTTAGATGGTGTGTTAGTGAATAAAAAGCACTCACTTGTTCTATGTTAGATTGGGCCAGTCCATTGGATATTTCCGTCAATGTTTTCTATGTAGTCGTCAAGGACAATACTAGACCACTCATCCTTGTTGTGCTCATTCTTGCACCAAGCTCCAAGTCCTTTTGGAGGCCTCTCGGCATCCTCAGGATTATTAGTGTTTATGTCAAAAATTTGGAAGAGATAACAGTATTGGGAGAAACCATTCCCAGGCACAGCCATCTTGCCATTGCCATTGGATACGTAGTTGTCTAGAGAAATTTTGCTTGATTGCTTAGAAGGCTCACAGTTTGCCCACAGCTCCCCATGGTACCACAGTCTTACGTTATAACACGTCTTTGAAAACTGTCCAGCCTGTTAAAACTTTGTTAAAATTTCAAAAGCACTCCTGAAAATGAACAAGCTAAAATTAATTACCTCCAAAGGAATTAGTATTAGCAAAAGCATAATCACTAGAATCATTGTATGGGTGCAATAATTAGAAAATACTTCAGCAACTAAAAACATTTATATGTTTATATGTCAATAATAGCTCCTATTTGATTTACAATTTAAATATATGTAATTTATTGGTCATAAAAGACAAATAAATATTTAAAAGCCTTACTTTCTGTATTTCCTCTAACTGTCAAAATATAAAAAAAGTAACAATTGCTTTAAATTTTCACTCTTTAGTGCATCCTTACTTTTTTAAAAAAAATTACAACCGTCGATCAAAAATTAAAAAATAATAAAGTACATCGTAACCATACTATCTAGGGCCACTTGGCCAGATATCCGACAGGGCAAAAGAAATAGATGCTGCTAGATTCTCCGGGAATATAATTAACCCAAAGCCTTGGGAAATACTGCCACCTGTCCATTCCGATTAGATCACCGGAATGCTTAAAGCCAAAAAAGATCCATAGAAGATACCTTACAAATTCTTCTCCTTTCTCCTCCCTGTGTGATGCCTCAACAAGGCGAAGAGAAGCGGCGGGCCTTTGTCACCTTCCTCGCCGGCGATGGCGATTACATCAAAGGAGTGATCGGCCTCTCCAAGAGCCTGCGCCTCGTCGACTCGAGATACGAGCTCATCGTCAGCGTTCTTCCGGATGTCCCGCGCCGCCACACCGATCTCCTCCTCGCGCACGGCTGCAATGTGCGATCCATCCAGCCGGTTCTCCCGCCGCCGGGAGTCTGCGCCTTCGCGATGCCCCACTATGTCATCAATTACTCCAAGCTCCGGATGTGGGAGGTGAGTGAGCTCTCTCTTTTCCGCCACGGATTCGCTACTGGGTTCCTCAAAGCGGTCGTCTTTCGATCGGATTCGTGTCGCTGCTTGTGTTTCTTGCGTTCTTGGTTTTCTTTGTTCGCTCTCTTCTCTCCCTTTTTATTTGTGGCGATCTTCTCGAATCCTCTAGAGAACTAATGTATACTTGGGCGTTCTTGTCCAGTTCGAGGACTACGATCAGCTCTTGTATCTCGACGCGGACATGATGGTTTTCGAGAACATCGACGAGCTCTTCGATCTCTCGCCGCCCGGATCCTTCACCGCCGTGAAAGACTGCTTCTGCGAGAAGACGTGGAGCCACACTCCCCAGTTCAAGCTCGGCTACTGCCAGCAGTGCCCCGACCGAGTCCCCTGGAACTTCGCCCTCGGCGAGCCCCCAAAGCCGTACTTCAATGCCGGGATGTTCGTCTTCGAGCCGAACAGCAAGACTTTCGGCCGGATGATCGAAGCCCTGGCCAAGAATCCCCCCACGCCATTCGCAGAACAGGTAAAGCTCAAAACTTTTCTCTCGAGAAACACTGAGTGAATCTTTGCTGCTCCATGGCAGGATTTCCTCAACCTGTTCTTCCAGGACGCCTTCCGGCCGGTTCCA